AGTAAAAAACCAGAAGAAACTAGAATCAGCAACGCGCTCTCGGACAACCACTAGGGAAACCATGACAGGGCACTGAACAGGATGAGAAATGATGGGAAGGTGTGACAAGGCCCATTTAGGATCCCACCTTTCTTGCATAGATAACGGGTCAGCTCAGTATAACAAAGGAAATACCATAATGTATTATTGTTGGAGATGCATTTTAAACTAATATTCAAGATTGTGGTAATTTTTTCATATATTTACAGATATGTTTACAAAACCAACTGCACTTCCAATCTCGCGTTAATGTTGTGAAATAATATTTTCACTATTATTTATTTAATCTAATTTTGCATATCTTTCTCGCTGATTGATCCCAGGTCTTCACACAAGTTGCATTTTAAGACAAAGAACCTGAGTAAACATGAAAGTCAAAGTTATCCAACTGCAACTGGCCCAGTGTGAAAAGGCCCACTCTTTGCTGAATTACATCTGGTTACATTAGGAGGGTATTGAGCAAGAACTGCTCATTTAAGATACAGTTACAGTATTTCAATGGAGTTCATGTCGGGACCATGACTAGGTCACTCCAAACCCTTCACTTTGCTTCTTTTGAGATATTCTGATTCTGATTTACAAATAATACTTACTTTTGTGTTTTGATCATGACACTGCTGTGTCATCCAATTACATTTAATTTTTTAATCAGACACTGTTGATCGGACATTCTATTTCAGAACCACAGATACTTGTACAGAGTAAAAAACCCAGCCTGAACGTTTTTAGTATGTAGTAAGCTTCTCTCGATTTAGTCAATGTCACTCTCTGTTGCAGCTGCCATTTCAGATAAATATCACAGATTCCTAGCAGACAATTTACTTACATTTTTCATAGCAAAATAGCTCTTCTTCTATGACTACACCCGTGTGTCTAAATATACACTAAGTGGCATTTTCAAACATGTCACAACAGTTGGAGGATAAGTAGAGCTGTTTAAATTAAATTTAAATGTGATATATAATGGGGTATACTTTCCGTTCTTCCAACATTTCATTCATCTCTTTAATTATTTACTTAGAAAGTTTTAGGACATTTGCCAAAGCTTACCTAATTCTATTCCAAGTTTGTTTCAATATTATAGGTCTTCATAAAGAATGAAAAATTTCTTTATTAGTAACAGGCTGTAAAGAAGAAGCTAAAATATGAGCTGGTGTGTTTTTTTTTTTAAATTTCCAAAGTAATTATGACTCCATTACTACCTACCTGCCTACAATGGGCAATTCACTCACAACGTGCAAACAATTGTCATTATAAGAGCCCCACTCTATACCGTTTGACGTACATTCCTTAATTATTTATAAAAGACTCTTAGAGTATAAGTATCTATCTATGCACCAAGTACAAAATGTTTGAAAGCATATAGTACATAAAGGAATTGGGGGAATAATCAAGGGTCATTGAACTCATCAAGAATCAACTATTAACTAGTGCATTTCTGAACTATGTGGTAGACTGAGCATGGGAATGTAATGTGTGCCATGTCCCCAGCCCCACATACAGCAACTCACAGGAGCTTGAGGCTGGGCTGAGGGAAAAGGGCAGCTAATCCTACATTAAATAAATAGCCACACTACATGTCAAGATGCAAAAGCAGTCTAGGCAATAAGGTCCCATAAGGGGCCATATGGGCCCTTTACTCTGCATGGCTAGGAGGAATTATTTGACCTCCCCAGCAAAGTGCATTACTGCTTACCATGGGTGGAGTGTCAAGAGCCTCAGGGACTTTCTCCAAGTGGTCAATTCACCCCTGCTTCTGTAGTTGTACAGATGAAAGGTGGGCACTAAAGGTGTGTGAAGTCCTGAAGTTAATCGTAAGGACAAAAAGAAAAGAAATTCACAAACTAATAAAACAAATCAAAGTTAGAAAAATAGATATCAGAATAACTTTGACCTTAATTGAGCATTATTTTCCTGTTTCATCGTCTTGTAGGTTGTACAATATGGTCAGTTATCTGAATCCACATTTGGAAGATGGAGTGAATACATGGGATGAAATGGTCTAGAGTAGGGATATCCATAGCCTATATCCCTATGGAATTTAGACTAACTAGAAGATTATGTGTAACATTGAAGACAGCACTCTGAGACTAGTGTAAACGGATTCATTCCATACAAATACCCTAGCGTCATAAGAACATTAAAACTGTCTCATAAACTTAAGTTTTACTAACCTGATCAGGCGTTGTAGTGTTTTCATTTTCTAATAATTTTAACTAGAGATTTGGTTGTGTCCCTTTGGAAGGAGATCCACTATTGACAGAAGCCACATTTCTACCCTTTTCTGCATCTATACAATAATGAAATTATATAGTTCTTGAAAATAAAGGTTTTATGTCATATTATATGACATTAGGAAAATAATGTCTGTATCCTTATAGAAGGTAATGGTTATCTGTTTCAGCTGTCCTATGAATGTCCTACCATGCATGGTCTCAGTCATCAGTATTCTGGCATGATAGATTTTTGATCTCCCGTATTAAGATAGAAAACGTATGCTAGAGTGAGGTAAGCATATTTTGGAAAATACTGCAGAACCAGTCAAAATGTTAAATCTAACTGTATAACAGGGACACTGGTAACCCTGTGTGTAACATCTACAAGTTATGATCTCTAGCCATTCAGAAATTCTGCATGTAGATATTTGAGTATAATCTATCTTGTTTTTGTAGCGTTCATAACAGCTATAAATGTTATTCCAACCCAAACGGACAAACCACAGGTGCTTATGCCATGTCAGGCAAGGTGATTGCCAGTTGCCAAAAAAAAAAAAAAATAACGCACCTCATTAAAAGGTCAGGATAAGACTAAATAGAAGAAGGATACATTAAAAAACAAAACAGAGTCTGACGGGAAATAGAGTTTGTCTATAAAGACCCACCAAGGAGAAGAGGCAAGAGAGGGGCAGGGACCTCGTCTGATCATGTTGGAATGTTACTGGTTACGCATTTTAAATCCTGGCACCCAAAAGATCTGTATTTACACCACATTAAAAGATTCCCTAGTGAGACCCACAACCAACTTGGTTGTAAGAGTGTGTGTTCCCTCAACACTGGGAGCCAAAGGTTATTTTATGTGAATTCACATAACATGTTTCCTGGATGAAGATACAGAAGCCACCCAACAGTGATGGAAGCCTGCCAGTTGTTTTAAAAGTTCAATCTGCTTCGCTATTTTATTGCAAAGAAAAAAAAAGTATTTTCAATTTTCTAAACAGTGCCTATAAGTGAATTGCCCATCAAATAACATTTACTCAAATATCATTAAATATACTTTTTCATAATAGGGTACATGTAAAGGTATTTAGACTTTATATAATATTGCTGCAATATAATAGCAGCAATATATCTGTTCACACTTACAGAGCGTGTTTTCGTTCTGCTTTGATCGCATTTCTAAGGACAGGCTCAATTTTCCAAGCACTCAGCTTGTTATACATAAAACAGAATATTGATACAAACCAGTATTATTGTAATGGCTCAGTCAGATACCCACCAGTCATGCTGGTTTCTAAAAATGTGAAATAATTATAAATAATGGCTTGGAATTGCATTGTATATCTGTTGCTTAGCTACAGAAATATCAATGAAAGATGAGGAAAGGCAAATTCTCTATTATAAATCAAAGTAATTTAATCTATGCAATTATGTTAATTGGTCAAAAAGCATACATTGCCAAGATGCTTTGCCAGAGTTTGTGCTTTAAGGTATGAAGACTGTCAAAGCTTCATAGGAATTGTAGTTTCCCCCAATAGCTAGAGCTCTAATATTTGGCCAGACCTGCTATAGATCTTTCGAAAAATACTAAACATGTTTGGGGTTTAGTAAACTATAGATCAAATTGCTTCAAATTAGGTATAAAGTGTTCTTTCAGAAAAGTTCTCTAATTACATACCTCCCAAATATCCCTATATAGGAGGGACAGAATTTAGGGCCCAAATTTCTCTGTCTCTCTTTTCTATTTTAATACCCCTCTTTTCTAGGAGCGTATTGTTGGCGTGTCCGAGTATATAACAGATCTACACAGAAATAATATTCACAGTACTGTGTCTTTAAACTACAATAAATGTGTTTAAAAATCAGTTTATGTAAATAAGATACATTGTTCTTGTTCTAAATTACATTTTAGTTAGACATAAATTGTTATAAATAAGTCACCTAAAATTTCTCAGAACAGCTGCGCCCCTGCCCCCTCCCCATTACACTCCTAAAATTTCAGTGTTCCACTTTGTCCATTTGAAATGTTAAGAGGTATGAAACTCAGTTAAAGACACTACTTAATTATTTTTATCTACGATTTTTAAATTGAGTTTGAATTCACTATTATTCAGCGTTCAGTGAATGAAGCTCTCAAGTATTTTTTAATGTTGTATTTTAATGCTTGTTTAATTGCTAGTGGTATATTTACCAATCAGTTAAATGTACACTATACATTTGACTCATAAGTTGAATGGGGTCCTAGAAAAACATGTTTCACAAAACATATGTATGATGTTTTAAAACGTGTACTCTAGAGTTTATGGAAAAATGAGGTGATCGAAGTGTTTAATTCAGTTTATAACCAAATATAATAGGTTGCTTTGGCTTGGTTCACAAGGGTGAGGCTGGGAATTCAAAACATTGCCTCAGACCTTTATGGATAGTAAAAAGCCCCTGGTGGGATTTTTTTTTATACTTTAGCAAAGCGTTCCAATTTTATGTTTAGTAAAGAAAAGCTTCAAATAGAATTACTATACTACTATGCAATTCTTTGACAGTGTCTAAATCTACAGATCTGTGTGCTCACATTAACCTATTGGTATTGAACATTGTTACAATGGGCCGACTAATTTGGTCGAAAGGTTCTTATCTGCCATCACATGCTGTGTTTCTATGTTTCTGTGTTAATTAGTGATGTCCCGAACGGTTCGCCGAACGGTTCGCCACGGACGGCGAACATATGACCCTGTACCTCACAGTCAGCAGACACATTCCAGCCAATCAGCAGCAGACCCTCCCTCCAAGACCCTCCCACCTCCTGGACAGCATCCATTTTGAAGCTGCATACTTAGTGAGCTGTCCAGGAGGTGGGAGGGTCTGGGAGTGAGGGTCTGCTGCTGATTGGCTGGAATGTGTCTGCTGGCTGTGAGGTACAGGGTCATATGTTCGCCGTCCGTGGCGAACCATTCGGGACATCACTAGTGTTAATGGTTAATCTGCTCTATCATTTACTGCTGATTACCTGAAGTAACATCTTCCCTCGACCAGAAAGCTACACTCAATTTCAACATTATTTATTAAATACTATATACAAAGATTTTTAGTCCTCATGTGATGTAAAATGAAACAGGCATTTCTAACAAGGTATATTGCTGAATTTCTAAAAAATTTCATTAAAAATATGGATTCTAGGATATGATTCTTTAACCAAAGATTGCTAAAGTGCTTATTGGGTGAGGACTATTCCATTTAAAAGGCAGTTTATAAAAGTATCAATTTCTATGCCAAATCAGAATTTTTATCTAAATAATGAAACACCCAATCACACAGTCAGGCAGGATTGCTTGCTGCTTCCGCCACCTCCACTGAGCCAATGGGAGTAGCATTCACACTCTACTTGAGTGCTTCTGACTCCCGTCGTATTCTTACTCACAGAATTCAGATCAGAATAGCCTTTCTTTGAATGCGCACAGAAGGATAGCTTCAAAGAATGCTCAATGAGAAGCCTATGATTAGTTATTTCCCTGTGATGATACCATAGAGTTATTCACTAAAGTGAGAATTCAAAGTAAATTTACAGCACATTTCAAATTCAAGGTTAGAGATAGAGAAACAATTCTGAAAATCAGCTATGCTTTCCATTCAACTACTGTGGTCTAAAATTGGAAATTCACGTTGAATTCTCACTTTCATAAATAACCCTGTGAAAATTCTGGGGTAAAAAAGAAAAGGGCTTGTAAAGGCTGCATATCATAGGAACTATACAAATGTTTGTTCCTAACACCTTAGTTTTAAAATCGCCGTTTATGCTTACGGCCCCCTCTCTCCTTAATTTAAAAAGGTGTAAAACTCATCTTTTCTCCAGCGCCGCGCCAGTCTCGTCACAGCTGACTCTGTTCCTGCTCTGCTTCGGCATCTTTACAGACAGAATGATGTTTCCTGCTACTTCAATGAAACTATCTTGCCTTTTATAAGCTGCAGGTTTCTTGTGCCAAATGCAAAGCAGCCCAGAGAATCACAGAGCAAACACCTTTCCTAACTGTATCTTCTTCCTCCAGATACCGCTGATGCACTGCTCCAAAAAGTTCCAGTTTTGTTTCATCGCTCCACTGAACAGAATCCAAAAACTTCTGTAGCTTATTTATATACATTTTAGCATATTAGAGTTTACTTTTTTTGTGATTTTGGGTCAGAAGTTATACGTCTTGGAGTTCTGGCATGGAAACTTCTGTGTTTAATACACACCTTACTGTGCTCACTGAAACCTCAATGCCTTGCTACCAAGTCTTGCTACAGGTCTTTTGGAGTCACATAAGATTTTTTTTCACAACTTGCCTTCTCAGATATCTGGTTGCAGCCATTGATAGCTTCATTTGTTCTGCAGCATCTAGGTAGTGTAACCACTATTCTTTCAACTTTGTACTTGTGAACTGTGCTTCCAATATCTAGGAAGATTTGTATCCTGTTCCTTGTTTGTGAAGGACAATGATCTTTTCTCTTAACTTTTTGGAACATTCTTTTGACTTAGCCATATTTTCAACATGCTGTCAAACATGACACTCAACAAACCCCTAGCCAGTTTAGGTATTTCAAGGGTTCCAGCTCAAAGGACACCTGGTGCAACTAACAAAGCCCTTGATTAGTTTGAGACAACAACTATTTTTCATATATGTACAGTTGTAAGGGATGCTCTTCATGGGGTTGAATCATTTTGAGACTGGAGAAGTTGAAATTTCAGTTAAATTTGGAGAAACCATTTGGAGCATTCATTCTGCTAAGCTATTTCAATTGCTTTTGTTTGCTTTGTTCATGCAAACAGCTGAAAGTTTGTAAATTGTGACAATAAACCTAATTTTCAATGAGGGTTGAATAATTTTGATTACAACTGTATGCCAGATGTGAATAGTGCTTCTGTGTCTCCATTCAATCCTCAGTTGCAGTTGGATGTAAGGTGATAATTTCTGAACAGACAATGTGTAAAGGGACCTATGGGAAACCCAATCCATATTCTTAACTTCCCATATTGTCAGTCTTCTTAATGTGATAATAATACCCCATCCCACCATCTATCAAGAAAACTCAACATAAATGATGTTTTCTAACACTCTTACATAGGTTAAACTTGTCACTTGCACTTTTAGACACTATTCTGGAGCACAAAAACACCTTAAACACCCTTTTCAGCACTGATACCTGTAGGGCATTATTATTGGTTTAACTGTGCAATCCACACATCATCTCCTAACGTAGACTATACTCCATAACATTTACAGTCAAAAACATCTGACAGACTAACTAACCAAATGTAAAAACACATTTGGTCAGAGGGATTACTATACCAAGCGAGGAATTCATTATACCCAGAACCAATTTAATGAAAACATGGGATTTAAATATTTCCATAGAAAATAATCTACGGTGTGAAGAAATCCCTCTTTTATGTGTAATATTTATTCCCTATTCATTCGGTAGATATAACTACCGAACAGAGACCACCCCCCTGGCTCGTTAAACTTCAAAGAATGCCTCAATTGAACCCTCTATCTGTGCGGCCGGCGTTTATACTACTGAACGCCACATGGCTAAGAAAACAGCGGCCATCTTTTTTTATGCAAACAAAGGCAGCGGGACTTGGTCGTCGAGTGTCTGGAACTAAAATCGGACACTCGACTTCCCGAACACCGGTCTCAACAAGCGAACGCTGGATCTCTATTTCCCGAACAGCTAGAAGAGCACTGTTCAGTACTTTTGTGCATTCAATTGAGGGGAACAATCGCTGCTAAGAGCCAGGGGAATCCATTCGTGGAATTATTCGGTTTTTGCGGAACTATTTCACTATTTTCGTCAGCCACCTCACGGTTAGCCGGTCACAAAAGACTTCCATACTTTTTGAGAACCCCTGAACCGATCTGGGTGAAATTTGAATATGTTGGTCACCAAGATCAGGGCTATCAGGGGACATTTTGTTTATGGGGATACCCCATGCCTAAAGGGGTGTTCTGAATATTGGGGAAATTGTAATTTTTCTGCCTGGAGATAATCAAGTTATTACTTTATCAGACTTGATTATCTCCAGGACTAGGGGAGGGAATTGTATGTTTGTGCTGGGTGTGTTTTACGGTTTTCCTGTAACTGATTGGTTGTAATGTGTCCCAATCTGTGGGATGTCCCCTTGCATGGGGACTTGCATAAAAGCCTGTGTGTGGTCATTAAAAGCCAGTTCTGTTGTACCCTTCTTCTTGACTTGGGGATTCGTTTGGTTTATTATCTTGTGTTTGTATGGATTTCGTTTATTTCATCTACCGAATGGAGAGCTATAATCACTGAGGCTCTGACGGTTCGGGAGGAAACTACCGAATGAGGATTGGATATACTAGGTTTCCTTACGACTGGTGGCAAGCGGAGGGATTCGAATCCCGAATGGACATCCTGAACCAAGCAAGGGAATAAATGGCTCAGCAATACCAGCTACTTCCACGCTAAAAGATTTACTGGAAGCTTGAGGCGTAGTGGCAAGTAACAAGACAAAAACCACGTTAATTGCGTATTTAATACGGAGCGATGGAATCAGTAATACAGAGATGGCGCACGAGGAAGAAACCGCGATGCAAAAGGATATCAGATGGATGCTCAGTGTATTGGGACCCAATCCATCAACAGAAGCAGTTCTGCAGGTCATGGCACAAGCCAGGCAAGCGCAAAAAGAGTGAGAGGATCGAGACAGATTATTACAGGGGGATTTGCTACACTCCCCGGGAAGTTCAAATTACCTACCAAAGAAGGTAAACTAGGCAGCGTTTAAAACTTTTAATGATAATGACATGGAAATTGACAGTTATTTACAAGACTTTGAACGTCAATGTGCACTGGAGGGATTAGACTCCACAAAATGGGCTGCAGTACTTAGCAGCAAGCTATCAGGAAGAGCAGCAGAGGTGTGGAGAGCAGTACCTTATGGGGACATACACAATTATGACAAGGTAAAAGACATTTTGTTGGCCAAATATGCTGTAACCCCAGAGGCATACAGGAAGATGTTTAGGGAATTGCGGAAAACAGGGAAAGATTCGCACACTGAATGGGCTACACAGGGCAGCCCGGAATTGGATGCAGGGCTGCCAAGCGACTACCCTGGAGGATGCCTTACAGCTCATCCTATTGGAGCAGTTTTTTAACCACACAGCGGACGATATAAAAGACTGGGTAAAGGACAGAAAACCCAAAACTGCGGAGGAAGCCGCCAGACTAGCGGATGAGTACCAGGGCAACAGGAGGCGAGAACAAGGTGTAAGCAGACCAAGTTTTAAACACACCTACCCCGTTCCAGCAACACCTGCACCATCTAGAGCCTCCATAAGTAACCCTCCACAAGGCCAGGACATTACAAAAACCAGTGTCCTCGTTTGAACCGAGGAAGCTGGGAAAGGCAACCACCACAACAGCCCAGGGCAGACACCCATTGTGTCCAACAGGAAAGTGCTACCAACATCCCTAACCAAGAAGAGCAGTGGAGTGTTTTACATGAGGTCAATCCAGTGCAAGCTGGGGGCGACAACCGGGACCACCACGTCAATGGATTACAGTAGATGGCGTGGGGCCCAAGCTATGAGAGACTCTGGGGTCACACTAACCATAGTACAACCACACACGGTCAAGGCCCAAACTTGCACCGGCCGCACAGTAGCCGTAAGGGTAGCTGGGGGTGCCATACACAAGCTACCTACAGCCAGCTTCCTTGTCGACTGGGGTTCTGGATCTAAACAGTTGGAGGTTGGCATTATGCAGGAACTGCCGGCAGAGGTCTTATTGGGGAACGACGTAGGCTGTTTAACCTCTCAACTATCACGGGACACCACTTCAGAAGCCTACCCGGTTATCACCTGAGCCAGACTGGAAGCACCGCTGCACTCTGAGGAAACC